ATAGGTGGATAAAAATGCCAAATCCAGTCTAAACAACTGGCTGACTGTGGGAATAATAATAATAATAATAATAATAATAATAATAATAAATTATTATTATTATTATTATTATTATTATTATTATTATTATTATTCATGAATTGGGCTAGATATTCCATAATATCCAAATCTCACAATAGTAACTGGAAGATGGAAGAATGGAGACTATGGTGAAATATAAAATAGGAGTGAGTTTGGCTAAAATAAATATTATATTACATTATATATTAGGATGGTAAAATTCACAGCTACTATCTTCTCACTTTCTCCTTGATTTTCTCTAGATCACTCAGCTGAAAATAGATCATAACCCTTTTGCTAAAGGCTTCCGGGATAATTTTGATTCGTAAGTCTGCCTTGTCTTCTTTCAGTTCTGATGTGCAGTTTAGTTGATTTTGGTGCCACACGAGATCTGTTGTATTTTCTTTCAGTTTCTTAATGTTTTCATTAGCATTTCACAACCCCTTATATTGCCTAACAACCACCTAAGCTATTTAACCATAACAGTCTCTGCCTCCTCCATCTTACATTGCATAGAAAGGGTTAAAGAACTATGGCAAACTATGGTTTGATATGGTTTCTTAATTGCAGGGTTATTAGTACATTACTTGGTTTGCAGTGGTGAGATAGCAAGCAAGGAGTAGATAACCTGGTATCCTCCAGAGATTCTAAACTATAGCACCCATAATCCTTGAGCATTGGTTGTGCCATGTGGAACATACATGAGTTGCCATGTAAAATACCTGGAAGGCAGCCAGCTGTCCATCCTAGAGCAGGACAAACAGAAACCATGACTTGACGTAGCCTTGCCATCCAATTTGGTGCCCAAGAATGAGCTGCTCTGAATGTCTTTTCTAACTCCCTGCTGCAGATTCCTTGTTTCACACCCATGTGCTGTTTTTCTCTCTCCGCTCCCCACCCTTTGCCAGGATGTACACCACAACCGAGGGAGAGCGCACAACCCCATCTCCACCCAGCGTGGCCAGTTGCCAGCAGCTCCTGTCAGGCAGCCGGTTCCAGCCTTTCTTGCACGATCAGTTCCCGCTGCCCCAGAGCCGCTTCTTCAACCGGGAATGCGTCCCACTCCCTCTGCCACCCAAGGATCCTCCCCACTGGTATTTTGCTTCACAACAGCCTCCCCCTGCCCCTCTGGAATATGGTGCCTACGAAGGAGACTTCCGAGGGAACAAATTTATGCCCTACGGGGTAAAGCCGTTTGCCCTGCAGCCAGCCTCCCATCCCTCCTTGCCCTACTATCAGGAGCACCCGTTTGGTCCGCCTCCTACCTGGAGTTCGCCACCTCAGTACCACCACCCCAAGCCCAACTCGGGTCCTCTGAGCTGGTTCCGGCCCATGCGGGATTTGCAGGCCTTGCCCGCCGGAGAGGAGAAAGGGAAGGACCACGAGGGCTGGGCGGAGCCAGGCTCGGCAAAGTCGGCAGATTCCTCGGACTCTGGCTTGTACGAAGCTGAGTGTAAGCGTCGCCGAGTGTCTCCGTACGTCTCAAGCGCCGAGAGCTCCCCACCCCTCCGCAATGGGGAGCTCTATGACAAAGAAGGCGGCGGGGACAGTGGTTATTATGGGTTCTATGGCAACTAAGAGAGGACAGAGAGGTGTAAGAGGAAAGGATGGGGGCTTCCATAGAGCTAATCCTCCTCCCCTTGTGTTAGGGGTCCTCTGCAAGATGCAGGTATCATCTCCTTGTGGGGAATAGTCCACTCCTCCATGGGCACTGCCAAAAGTATTGCTAAGTCATAGAATGAGGCTCTTTTTAATCAGACTTCTTTATTCTGCAGTTTCCAGGTGCTAGTCTTCTGGTGTTAAACATGAATTTATAGAGATATTTGTGGATCTAGGTGATGCGAGCTCTCATGGTAGGCCCAGATCGGATTCCCTTAGATTCCTGTATAAGGGCTTTTGCTTGTGTGTGACAAATGACAAGCACAGGAATACTCCAGTAGGAATGCATCAACACAACACATCTCCAGGTTCTCTTCACATAGCTATTTTCAGTTTTGCTTCTGAGCTCTGCCATTCCTACATATTGCTGAGCAATGAGGAAAGAAGTAATTTTATCTTTTTAAATGCACTGAAATTTTTTAGCAAATATTAAGATGTGAAATCCAACCTGGAGGGATCTAATAAACTCACACATGTGCACAAATACTTCTTAATCCTGAGTTTTCAGGCCAGAATGCCACGCATCAGCTTGCTGATTTCAGTCACTCTGATCCAGCTAGAGTTCTGTGCACCAAAGCAGGCCTCAGTGTAAGCATCACCTGCTGAACTGGAAACCGTGGGCATAAGTCAGCTGTGCATCTGCCTGAGAATGCAGTCTCTCTGCAGTGCTTTGCTTTGAAAGGGATATGTATTTTGTGCCTTTGAATGTGTGCAAACAGACCTCTTATGTTCTTGCATAGTTAGTAACATATCAATGTCTTTAACACAACTAAATTTAGGACAGTGTAATTACTTTACACTCCAGTCCCTGTCTATCCCTCCTAAAATCCCCGCAATGCACCAACATACTATTAAGATTACCGTGGGTAGGGAAACTGAGTTAGAATCATGGTGAGCAATTTGGAATTTGGAAAATGTTCTTGATACAAAACAAGAGTACTGTTCCTGCCTTTCATTTAAATTCTGCATGCTTGCTTTCAAAATCAAGGTTCTTTTGGTCTAAACTACCCTGGGATTGGTAACCTCAAGTGTCTTTTTGACAGAGCTCCGCGTGTACGTCTGAATGCATACAAGATACACTCTGTTCTCATTGCATTGCATTCGATCGGATGAGTGCTTAATTAAGGAAGTCAGCCACTTATGCAGTATGAGAAAAGAGGAAATGTGTCACCAAAAGAACAAAAAGGATAGCGTAGATATACACAAACTCATACAGACACACACATGCAAATTTGGGAATAGATACAAATAGAATACAGTATCTCTCAAAATAGTGGGGAAAGCTGTGATCAGTGCACCTGTTACTCAATCTGCTATATACAAAGATTTTTTTGTTGTTGATTGGCAGTTGTAAGGACCTTGCTGTCCCTTTGACCAGTTTTTTTTTTCCCATCCTTCAACTGGACTTCAGCTGGACCTCCTTTCAAACAGAGGAGGCTTTCAAAAAGAACTGACTTCCTCTGAGAGCTCTTAAAGTAGATGATTGTCATCTCTAAAGTAGGTTCTATCATGACCAACCCAGGATCAGACTACGGTTACCGCCTACGTGTGCAAAAATCATAGGCTACAATAATTTCCTCGTTCTTGAGCCAGTCATAGATCTTTTTTTTTTTCTTCTTTATCTGCGCTCAGTCGTTACCGACTCTGCAGTGACTGCTTGGACGAGTCCTCACAGTTTTCAAGGCAAGGTGTTTTGGAAGTGGTTTGC